GTTTCCCCACGTTGCCCGCGAACCACCGGCGGGGAGGTCGAGGGTTGGATTTGGGTTCGGTTCAAGTGGTTTGTTATTGGTGTGTTGCAAGTTGCCCGAAGGAGTGTCGCCTGCAAAGGCCCCCTGCTGCGTTTGCCAGAGGTGCCGCGTTAAGTGGCTCTTAGGAAAATGCGCTTATTAAGCTGAGGTCAACTGTCCGGACTGCAGCAACGCCGAAGGATGGGGGACGCTGACGCAGCTGTTATCAGTTAGCCAGAAGCAGCTGCGAGGTCAAGCCTTGGGGGCGCCAGTTAGAGAAAGCATTGAAACAGTTGTTTGTGAGGACGCATGACTTTGGGTCAGCGGGCCTTGGAGAACGAATGGGAGAGAAGTCATGTGACTCCTGCCACATGTCTTCATGGGGTTCAGCATCGCGGGACATGCGTTGTGAGACTAAGTGTTTTCTACTGTACGGTCGCAACCTTTTGATTCGACCGAAATCTCGAGGACGTTTTAGCTACTAGATGCATGGTGTTTTCCGGAGTTTGAAGGTAAAGCAATGCTATAATTCATATGTCTTCTCGGGGATTGTCAAGGTATGCTATTGGTGTCTACAATAAACGTAGAGCATCAACTGCTGTTCAGTTTGAATACCTCTTTATAACTAACTGAAGTCAACTGCTTGTAGATAACATTCTTGTTACGATCAGAAATCTGAAGGACACGTAACCACGACTACTTTTCAACTAAGTTTGCGGACGGTATTTGTCAGTTCTAACTGGCTAGTTGCCCTGTTCTGTAACCGACCGTTGGGAAGTAGAACACTCGCACATATCGACAGAAGGTCTGTTGTCCTCGTTAAAGTCAGGAAATATCGTGGACCAAGCCCCCACGGCATTGATGCATAACCTGGCACGTATCTCCGATCGATCCCCTCTTTACTGCGACACGATAAGTATAAACCAATACAGCTTTCAGTCCGGGGGGGGTTCGCATTTTTATCCTTTACCGAACCTTTCTGTGCGGCCACTACCAACAATCCATTCTGCTCTGCCCTATTAATTTTACCTGTTCTGTTCTTGTAATCGATCAAAGTTACTTTTATGAATTCGAGCTTACTGTCTAGGAGCAAGTACCCAGATGCGCTGCGTCAGCTGTAAAACTGTATACTCTCCTAAGGCTTAAGCCTGTATGTTCATGCATTAGGCGCTTTTACTGCGTGTTTATGTATTGACGGCGTCCATGTCTTCTCAGGTTGAATTCATAGGTTAGCGGTGTTGTGCGAGAACGTACTACTGCAAGATAGGTGCATATTCGTCCATTGGTTTAGTGTTAAGTCTATCTTCTGAAGATGCGAGGCGCATATTCACCTCAAGCGCTTTGAATGTTTCAATTTTATTGCTGTTGAATTGCCTACTCACTTCCATTATTCCATGTTCTTTGCCTCTGACAGTGCTTTTATTTGCTTCAACTAATTTTTCCCTCTTTTTTGT